TGCATAAAGCTTTACTGACTGGATGTCCTTCTTAAGTAACGTGGCACTTTTTCCATCCGGTATGTTTGAGATTGAGGTGGATGCTCAGCACAGTCACCTATCTGTGTGAATGGTAAAAGGCGTGGTTTTATTACAGTGCTGTCTGACGTCATGGCATGTGAGGCGTCACGTACTACGGCTGAGACCGTGAAGGCTCGTGAAGGCAACGATAATGTACAGTGTGAATCTGGTTCATATTTCAAAATAAGAACTGAAAACTGAATTACGCCACGATTAACACAAGTGAATAGGCCGTTTTAGCTTTTCTACACGGTATAACATCACCTATTCATCAATTTATTTAAGTCAAACTTCAAGTTTAAGTGAGTTTACGTTGCGAGGTGCGAATTTAGGAGCGTGTGCGCTTTTATTTTGAAAGAACACGTAAAGGAAATCGTGCGCCAGTAATTAACTGAAGTCTGGTCCACGTTTCACAGGAAGTAAAGACATGTCTAAAGGAGACAGGGGAAACTTTACTAAATGAACAGATAAACCTTCACACACGCTTTACCTGCTCCTCCTGACCAGATTTACAAAGAGACTCTGTCACGAACGACAATTTACAGTCTTATCGGGAAATTGAGTAAGTCTTTTCACTGACACCCTCAATCATTCAATACGTTGTTGTCTCCTTTTCACAGTTTGTCACAGAAGTTGTACCCTTCCTCAATGGGTTAGACTTTGGTTGAGTCTTCAGTGGAAGTGGCAAAGATGATATGATATTTAAAAATACAATTCTGTGGGATTTCTGATCGCCTAAAGTTACACACAGACAAAAATCAAAATCAATGTATTTTTATTGTATATCTGAAATGCCCAGGCACAGAGTGAATATAATGGGGGAAATTAGAGGAGTGTTAAGGATGTAGTCTGGATTAGGCATGCAGTGACATCTACACCAGTGTATGCTAAAGAAAACTCAGATGCAGAATTAAACAGTGGTCTGTGCTGTGTCCTTGGAAATATAAATACAATTTTGAGTGGAATTGAATAATAAAACTTTTATTATGCAATGTACAAGTAAGTTCCAGCTTATTCAGAGTGACGTATGCTGTCTCAAAAGATAACAATAGCTGACAATGAAAAGTAGTTCCTGACATTTTATATTGTGGGCACTTTTTTGATTTATGTGGTTAGACAGGTTATGGCTTGAGCCTGCTGACGTTGGATAATAGGGGCAGGTCACATATCTGTCAGTTCACCTAACAAAACCATAGAGGTGTGCTTAAAGAGGCTCACACAAAAGGATATCCTGTTTCGTGTATGGCCTCTGAGTCATTCTGCTTCTGCTGCAATCAATAAAAGAACTATAACCAGATTTTGAATAGAGGGTTGATTGTATGTACCAGACTGTATGTTATATTTGACAGGTCCGAGAATGGCAGAGAAGGTGCTGGTCACAGGTGGAGCTGGCTACATTGGGAGTCACTGTGTGGTGGAGCTCATTGAAGCAGGTTACCAGCCAGTTGTAATAGATAACTTCAGTAACGCTGTAAGAGGTAAGCTCCCAAAGCTGAGTAACTTTGTACGTCATCATAAATGTGCCTGTTGCAAGTATGTTTGTTTAGTATATACTCATGTCTGGTATTAATGTGTGTGTGTGTGTGTGTGTGTGTGTGTGTGCTACCTCCGGTTGTGAATGGAGGAGAAGGGGATGTGCCAGAGAGCATACATAGGATAGAGAAGCTCCTGAACACCAGCATTGAGTTTCATGAACTTGATCTTTTGGACCAACCTGGCTTGGAAAAACTATTCAAAAAGGTCAGAAACTTAATAAAGTTGATTTTTTATTATTATATCTATCAGAGCTGTAACAGTTAAAGTCAATTAACTGCTTAGTCGATGGATGTAAAAACATTTAGAACCATTTTGATAAGCAAATAACACATTTTTCAAACACAAATTGCTGTTCTCAGTGTAATTGATGCTTTTCTTTGACATTACTAATAGCAAACTAATTTCTTCACAGTTTTCTGATATTTTATAGATTGTTATTGTTTGTTGCAGCACAAAATCCGATTTCTCTATATGTAAAAATAAAACGTAAATTCAGTTAAACTCCAAAACGTTTTTTCTTCATAAATCAGCTCTAAAATTAACATAATTGAATAAATGCTGGTAGTCGTTGTCTTTGGGGGAAACCTGATAAATATAGTAATACAGTAGTCATTTTTGTGTCAATAACATAATTCCATGCTTAGTTTTTACAAACTGTGTTTATTTTATCAAAGAATGTCCCTTTTGGCCACCATACATTCTCAGATAGCATTGGAAGTATGTAGTGTGACATAACACTATTATACTGTATGTGCATATTAGTTATAGAAAGTCCTTTCACATTGGTCACACCATCACATGTGACTGTATATCTGTCTGTCTGTGTTGCAGCATTCTTTCAGTGCGGTGATGCACTTTGCTGGTCTCAAGGCTGTTGGGGAGTCAGTGGAGCAGCCGTTACGCTACTACAGAGTCAACCTCACTGCCTCCATGAACCTGCTTGAGGTCAGTTTAAATTTTTGTCATCTGATCTGACAGCGTCTTTCCTCTACTAAATCTGCACTTCCTTTCAGTCATCCCTCTGAACTGATCATTATTTGCATGGCAGTGTGTGTTCATTTGTTACTGAGTTGGCTTATTCTAACACTGCATGATAACTCGTTTGTGGAGTTCGCCGTGTCCGCCAACCTGGGCGTTTATGCTTACTCCTGTGTGTGTGTGCGTGTGTGTGTGCACGCTTTAGACTGCTATCTCACCAGCCGCTGACTGTATGCGTGTGCCGTGTTTGTTTGCATCTGCATGCATCCCAGGTGATGCAGGCTCACAGGGTGCACAATCTGGTCTTCAGCAGCTCAGCTACAGTATACGGAGACCCGCAGCACCTTCCCATCGACGAGCAGCACCCCGTGGGTGGCTGCACCAACCCCTACGGCAAGACCAAGTACTTTATCGAGGAGATGATCAAGGACCACTGTAAAGCTGAGAAGGTACTGATGAGGAGGTGGAACGACATTCACAGGTGTACACACACGCATATACATGGTGTGTCTCATTATTGCCTGTGTGTCAGCAGGACTGGAATGCAGTGCTGTTGCGGTATTTCAACCCGATTGGAGCCCATTCCTCTGGTGTGATAGGAGAGGACCCTCAGGGTATCCCCAACAACCTGCTGCCATATGTAGCCCAGGTACATGAACTGTCTGCCAAATACAGGGCTGATCTGAGCATGCAATGCAAATTCATGTAGTTGCCGCTATCAGAGGATTTGACATTGTTGCGTTGATTTTTCTCCCTCACAGGTTGCCATTGGGAGAAGAAAGTGCCTCAATGTGTTTGGGAATGACTACGACACACTTGATGGGACAGGTAATGAAGAAGATCTTTTGCTGTGGTACACAGATTGAATTATAGTTTGAAATATTATTTTGGGCAGAAGTCTATTAATAATGAGTAAACCGTCATTTCACACCTCTTACTCATGTTCAGAATCATATAAACAATGTTTTCTTTCTGTTGCTAGGTGTGCGAGATTATATCCACGTTGTAGATCTGGCAAAAGGACACATAGCTGCTCTGAAGAAGCTGAAGGAAGACTGCGGGTGCAAGGTGCATTTAAGAGAAGAAGAAAAAACAAAAGCACTTTAAAACACATTTTCAGTCATTTTCTGGTTCATTGTGTGTTGACATGATTGAAGTGTTTATAAGAGCATGGGCATGTGTGCATTATTGTGTCTGTAGGTTTACAACCTAGGAACAGGGACAGGCTACTCTGTGCTGCAGATGGTGAAAGCCATGGAGAAGGCATCAGGGAAAGAGGTGAGTGACAGAAGAGTTCTTTTCTCTCCAAAGTAAATTGTCTTCAGGGTTGGCGATTGTATAGTGTCCTGTGAGAGCAACTGAAGTGACTTGGAGCAGTAACCACACTACATTACGTTATGCTGAGAGTTTAAGAACGGCCAATCTGACATTGACTGTCTCCGATCCACTGAAGTTCCCTCAGGTTAAACCACCTTCCTTTTTGTTCATTAATTTTTTTTCCTTTTTTGTCCTCTCCATAGATCTCATACAAAATCGGTCCACGTAGAGGAGGAGACATAGCGTCATGCTACGCTGACCCTCGTCTAGCTGAGAACGAGCTGGCCTGGAAGGCTGAATTTGATCTGGAAAGAATGTGTAAGGACATCGACCCTGCAAAATTCATTGTCCAACATCATCATGTATTTATTTTTTTTGTGTGTGTGAAATGATTTTTTATGTTTATGTTTTTTGTACCCGTGTAGGTGAGGATCTGTGGCGTTGGCAGTCCATGAACCCCACCGGATTTTCCAACGGCACAGCCTCTTGATGCAACCCCAGCTGTTTGTTGTTCCTCTTCTAAATCACCGGGCCAAAGCAAACCATCAACTTCCTCCTTTTTGCATATCACATAAACACAGGATGAGACCTCAAGAGGAGCTGAATGCTTTATGTCTTGTCATGTTTGATTTTCTATTTGTTCTATACTAATAGTTAAAGCTTATTCTCTAATTACTGTTTACATAGAAGAGTGTCTTTCTGGTCTCTGTGTGTTGTCATTTCAGATAAACAATGGATATTTTCTCTATTAATGTATTGATCTGTGAGCCATAACAATGAAAGAATAAATTAATTTTCTTACTGAGGAAACTGGAGCCTTCATTTCCACTCCATTATGAAACTGGGCTGTTTCAAATGATTGTGAAATGAGTTTATTAATTCAAGGGGATTGACTGCTACAATGTGGACTACATTATGAGATTAGATGATTCAGACTAACACATGAGAATAGTTCTAGTAAAACATACACTGACCTGTAAATATGATGAGGTTGCTGTAAAGTCACTATTGAGCAATACAAGAACATAACTGAAATGATGCCAAGGCAGATCAAAGAAACCTACCAGTGTGATATCAGTGTGTTTGAGTATAAATCCCTACAGAATTATTAGACAAATATTGCTCAGTTTCACAAGGCTGGGGTATTCAATGTCCAGTATTAATATTCTGTGCATACAGTACATTTAAACGGGGCACTAGGGCTTTAAATGGCTCCTTGAACCCTCGGGCACCCAGTTAATAAACACCCACGTCAGCACAGTGCTCCAGTCGCTCTAACCGGGTTTCGGTCTTTAGGGCTGAGCAGGAAGTGCCTGACTGTGGACCCTGGACGAGAAAAAAAAAGAGCAAAGACAAAAAAAAAAAGGCTAAATAAATTAAAAATGGATATGGTGGCGGACCTGGGGGCGAGTAGACTCTATCGGGCGCCGGGTGAATCAAGTCACCAGTGAGTATCGATGGATTTTCTGAGGGGTATCACGGCGTGGGGCGTAAGCGGGTCCTGCCGACACCTCACGCCTGGGAAAGAGTCGCTGGGTTTGGGCAGCAGGCAAATCCTCCCCGCTGCTCGTTTGCGCTCCGGACCTCCGGCGGGAAGTGGGGGTGGTCTTGAGGATGAAAACGGGTGTATTTAGCGCGTCTTATCCCCGGCGTGATACACTATGTGAATATATTTATTTCTGAAGCTCGCAACGTGCTCAGTCGCTGGAGGTTTGTGTCTATTTTTCTATTGTGTGCTGGCTGGAGCCTGAAGTGGGCGTCGCTCCAGGACAGACTGGGCTGCTCTGGTGCGCCGCTGCCCGCTTTCCTCTCGCAGGACTGCAGCACTCTTCACGTCGTTTTTGTAGGTCGACTGATGTCTGAAATAACGGAGAATAGCTCGGGTAAGATATTAGACTGGGTTTCATGTGACATGAGGAGCACTATAGTCTTGCGGGCGGGCGTTGCACCGTGGGTTATCGGGCGCTGTGGAGCCTGTCAGCAAGTATCTCATAATTAAAAATGAATGCGTGTAATTCAGTACATGGGAATGGCTATATAGGCTACTATATAGAGGAAGGAGAACTATTCTTCAAATGAGGTTGCGGCAATTCTTTCCCCTATTTGGATGTCCGGGTATAGTGTTATATTTCCTCTACAGTCTTGGTGTGTCTGCAACATCAGAGATTTCATGCGCGCTTTAGCTTCCCTCAAGGATGATTACAGGGTTTTTGTCACCCGATGCTCTCTGACTGGAGTCGGGTGTAGCCCATTAGAAGAGGATTTTGATTGAAGGCTCCTGTAGCCAATCACAGTGCGGAATGAAGTCCGGGTGGGCGGGCTGTCGGCGGAGCTGGAACTGATCCAGTACAGCAACAAAGACAGGGAGATAATTGACAGCTACATCGATGGGGTGTCACTGCTGTGTGGGTTATGTGACCTGCAGTTAATATTTGGCGTCTGTAGCATAACCATTTATTAAGGTTAGCTGACTATCATAAAGATGTCACATGAATCACTCTCCATGTTTCCTTCTTTAATATGTAGAATCCATATCATACATTACGTTTGCATTTAGGCTCATATTATAGATTGTTATTTCAGGATCACGATTAAAGAAGTTTCTCAGTAATGAGTGTCCACTTGTCTCTGCAAGGCCTCTATGATTTGTTTATTTTACTATGCTGCATACACAGCCAGAGTGATTTCTGTCGCGTTGTCTCCTGCAGGCAGCCTCAGAGGTGGTTCAACACCGCTGACATCACAGTGGCTCACCAAAGCAACCTGCTGAAGCAGCTCAACCAGCAGCGCCGGCAGGAGCTTTTCTGTGACTGCAGCGTGCTGGTGGAGGGCCAGCTTTTCAGGGCCCACCGCAACGTCTTGTTCGCCAGCAGCGGCTACTTCCGTATGCTGCTGTCCCAGGGGCCCGACGGGCTGTCTGACTCTGTCCACGCCACCTTTGACGTCTTTAGCCCAGAGACCTTCACTGTTATCCTTGACTTCATCTACTCCGGCCAGCTGGACCTCTCCAGTCACAATGTGATTGAGGTGATGTCTGCAGCCAGCTACTTGCAGATGAACAATGTCATCAACTACTGCAAGAACTTCATTAAATCCTCCTTGGACATCAGTGTGAAAGATGAAGACAGTGAGCGCTGCCTCAGCTTGTCTGAGACCTGCAGTTTCACCAGCGGAGCAGGGGAAGAGACCTCAGAGCAGCAGCAGCAAGGCCCCAGTTCTGTCAGCCCACCACCGGCGCTCTGGACCCGGGACAACTCCAGATCCCAGACCGGGTTCATGGGGAAGGACTCAGACCAGGAGGCATCGGCCTCAGCCCTGAAGACTAATCCAAGCAGTCCTGTGAATGAGCTCAACACAGAGGCAGAGGACCTGCAGGACCCTCAGGACCCTCTGTACACCTTGCCTGGATCAGAGCGCCGACGAGGTAAAGGGGGAACCAAGAGAAGAGCACCCAACAGCACCCGCTCCAACCAGCACGAAGACTTGGACATCCAGGAGGCGAGAACACAAAAGGCTGAAAAGGCAGAGGAATTGTATGCTACTCTACCACCTATTGTGGGAGTTATTGGACACTTTAATAAAGGTGAGTTGGACTGTATGTGAGAAAATGGAAAATCAATAGTACTTTTACCTTTAGAGAAGTGAGAAAAGGAATAACGTACTTAATCATGAGCAGACTGGCATGAGTGTAACCCTCAAAAAAAGCAAGAAATACTGCTATCAAGGGAATAAACAGAAATGCTGAATCTCTGAACAGTTTCTCTTCCTCTTTGCAGACTCCAACCCTATCATGCGCTTCAAATGCCCCTTTTGTACGCACACGGTGAAGAGGAAGGCAGACCTGAAGCGTCACTTGCGCTGTCACACTGGGGAGAGGCCGTACCCGTGTCAGGCCTGCAATAAACGCTTCACTCGCCTGGAGCATCTTCGTAGCCATTTTGAGACGGTAGGTTTATTTACATTCAGGAGGTGAAGCCTAAACTTACATCAATTCGTCATTCATTATTGGTTTAACACCTTCAGAAACCGAGAAATAGTGATAAAGCTTACACTCCAAGCTGCACTATAGGGTTGAAAAAAAAAAGATGCATTGTTTTCTTATGCGTATCAGTGTTCACAACTGCCTACTCATACCTATACAGCTAAACAATAACATAACCTGCTCTTAACATTATGATTTTGAATGTAATTTTTTTGTTTTTTGTTTCTCCATAGATCCATCAAGCCAGAAAGCTGGTGTGCAGGAAGTGTAAGTGTCAGGTGACGGAGGACACTGGACATGTGGTGTGTGAGGGCACACGACGCTACCGCATGTGCACTGCGTGCATCCAGGAAGTAGGTTGTGACGACATCCCCATAGACAGTCTAGAGGGGACCAATGAGGAGCCGGCCCTGTTATTGGGGGTAGACGGGGAGGAGGAGGGGGACACCAAGAGGAGCTGGATGGTAACCGATGACGACGACCTGGCAGAAGACTCGGGGGCCGACCTCATCATCCAACAAGTGGACGACAGTGACGAGGAGCTGCAGTGAAATGGAACCAAAGTGTGTGTGTGTGTGTGTGTGTGTGTGTGTGTGTGTGTGTGCGTGTATGTGTGCTAAAGCCATGCAAGAGAATTTATGCATAAAATATGTGATCCACTCATGTAAATACACACATTAATGATATATTAGTTGTCTATTAGTTAAATGCATCTTTACTTTCAATGAGATTGTTGACCTTTGTGATAAAATGGAATGCTTTTTGTTAAGCTTCATAAAGATATGCAGTATCCAAAGCATGCATATTCAGTGTTTCCTTTGTTTCAATTATAGTTATATGATAAATCTTTCAAATGTTTTTTTCATATGCATGGAAGAACAGCTTTGCTGCTTTTTGGGACTCTCTGCTTTGATAAAAGTTGGCATTTGAGCAAAACAAAGTGACAAAGACAGAATAATGAGTCTATTTCCCTACTCCCTGTAGGTAAAGTCAAGAGCAGACTTTTCTTTTTCCAATGTCTCACAGGTGCAGTGCTTTTTATGATTATGTTTGATTATGATATGCACTATGATATAAAGCCAATTATAATTTATTATTATTTCTTTTTTACTTTTTGACACATTAAAGATATTTTTATACATTCCAGTGTCTGTCTTTCCCCCTGTGTCTCTTTTTCTGTGTAGATTAAAAGTACAATCAATTATTACAAAGGAGAAAGTAATAAAATACAATAAAATAAAGGCAGATTCTGTTTTCAAAATTCTACTATAACATTTAATTGTGTATATACTCTTTGTTTCTATGTAGTTTTAGAGAGTTTATCAAATATGTAACGCCTTGTAGGAAAACAGTAACATTGGTATTCTTTTAGAATTTTATGAATAAAAAAAAAACGGATAAAAATGTAAAAAATAGCAATAAAATATATTGTGGCATCTTTGCATTGTATGGCATCTTAAAAGACAGCTATAAATTGTATTTGTACTCATGAAAATGGCAATTTGTCCAAAATTTTGTAAAAGAGATGGCTGAGTGTACAGGTTCATTTCTAATGAATACAAATGAAATCAACAGTAGTGAAGCCAGTTTTGTCAGGTATATATATACTGGGTATATATATTATGTTACTTATATTATAATGGGAGTTTAATTTCAATAATATTTTAAATAAAGGGATTCCAAATTGATCTTTTCAATTCAAATCTCCGGCCCATAGATGGCGCCCGTGCGGCGCTTTTATAACCCGCGAGACCTTTTTTCCTTCCCTCACGAGGAGGAAGAAGTGACGTCAGACCGGAGGCTGGACCAACATGGCGGCCGTCATCAGGCTTGTCAACAGAAGCCCTTTAAGTTCAGCAATGGGTCAACAGTATCTGGCGTTAAGCTCCACAGCAAAGGTCCAGGCAGTGAGTTCGATGACGCTTTTATCTCCCAGCAGATTGTTCTGTGAATGTTTAACTAACAGACTGAACAGCAGTGTTTGACAGCTCACTAACGTTAGCTGCTAGCATCCTCTACGGTTGAGTTAGATACTAACACATTATCAGTCCTCACAGGTCGGCTATTTCTGATTTCACATTAACAAGTACAACTTCTTCACATCTGTATTTAATGTGTGTGTGTGTGTCTGTGTGTGTAGGCTGGTGTGAGAGCAGGCCAAGCTCTCCCAGAGAAGGTGAAAATAGTGGAGGTTGGACCCAGAGATGGCCTTCAGAATGAAAAGGTAACAGATAAGTGGTTCATTTAATTACCCAGCAGCTTTTACATTCATGAAATATTAGTGTAATGTTAGCACCGCTCACATCTATCTGTTTTTAACCGTCGGCGAGAGACAGAGCAGGTGCATAGCTCATGTGTTGCGTAACCAGGTGAAACCATCTCAGTCATGCTTTTGTCTTTTTTGTTTTTTTCCAAGTGTTCCTCATCTTGTTGCTTTGCTGCTTCTCCTCTCAGACTATCGTGCCCACAGAGACAAAAATTCATTTGATCGACATGTTGTCAGTGTCGGGGCTGCCAGTCATTGAGGCCACCAGCTTTGTATCTCCAAAATGGGTTCCACAGGTGAGTTTGTAGACCCGGAGAGATTCATATGTTAAGTGCTGACACACCCCACTGAGGGCGGTACAGAAACTGCAGTGTATATGATTGAAAGTGGTTTTATTCTCCAGCACTAATTGGTTTCTATCTTTTTTGTCCAAATGTTAGATGGCAGACCAGGTGGAGGTGATGAAGGGGATCAGTAGGAAGCCTGGAGTTTCTTACCCAGTCCTCACCCCCAACCTTAAGGGTTTCCAGGCTGCTGTGAGTGCCAAGCATCATATTCCAACAAACTTTCCCAATAGCTACATAGACATATTGTACATCCAGTATGCTGTAAGTGCTGTAAAAGTGTGACTGAAAATGCATTTTCCTTGCTTTTACTTACTACAGGTGAAGGCAGGAGCTTCAGAGGTAGCCATATTTGGTGCTGCGTCTGAGCTGTTCAGTAAGAAGAACATAAACTGCTCAGTGGATGAGAGTTTACAGCGCTTCGATGAGGTTATGAAAGCCGCTAAAGAGGCTGGTGTTCCAGTTAGAGGGTAGGAGTACTGGCTTGCTCGTGACTGTCAACAAACGTATAAATCATTAGAATTATAGGGTTTGTTTGTTTTTGCACAAGTTTTATTTCAGTTTCTTGTCACCGCAGGTATGTGTCATGTGTTCTTGGATGTCCATATGAAGGCAAGGTGGCACCTGAAAAAGTTGCACATGTGAGTTCCCACTTGATATATATTTACATTAAGTAAACTGGGAGAATCTATAATCCTTCTTTGACAAAAAATACAAAAACATTAACACTCATGAAACCAGCTCAAGCATTGTCTCTATTTTGCAGGTGGCTAAGCGTCTGTACTCAATGGGCTGCTATGAGATCTCCCTCGGCGACACTATCGGAGTGGGGACTCCAGGTAGTATGTCTGAAATGCTGGAGGCGGTGAGCAGAGAGGTGCCAGTGAATGCCCTGGCAGTGCACTGCCACGATACCTACGGCCAGGCCCTGGCTAACATCCTCGTTGCCTTACAGGTCAGACTTGGTTCTGGTTATTTTAATGCCATCTGATATTAGTATTTTTATTATTAATTGTTGTTACTGTGTACTGTGTTTATGCTCCATACTATGTGATCATGGTTATAGGATGCAAAATAAATGAAAATCGAACCTTAGTGGGCTCCACTTTTGGTATCCCTGATGTAGGTGGTCTGTTGTCAGGACAGTGTTAGTGTAGCTTCAAGGTAAAGATTTCCTTTATTTTTCAGATGGGAATCAGTGTGGTAGACTCGTCAGTAGCTGGACTGGGCGGCTGTCCCTATGCCCAGGGTGCTTCTGGGAATGTTGCTACTGAAGATGTAGTCTATATGCTGCATGGACTTGGGATTCAGACGGTAAGAAGTTGCTCCTTATGTTTCTCTTTGGCCTTACCTGTCTTTTAATTTATTTCATAGTAGAGATTAAAATGGCTGCTCTTTTGTTTGTGTTTACTTATGTAAAAAAAAAAAAAGAAGGAAAAAAACAGGCTAATGATCTTTCTATTTTTATGAGTTAATTCATTATAAAAAAGTAAAACTGCTGTTCCATGAATTTATTACACCAGGCTTTGCAGACCGTATCATAGTTCAGTTTAGCAGTTATAATTATTGTCTACAATGGGACCTCCCTCAAGTTTGACCCTTTGGTTTTCCCTTCTCATCTCAGGGAGTGGACCTCTCGAAGCTGATGGATGCTGGAGCTTTCATCTGTCGATCCCTCAACAGAAAAACCAACTCTAAAGTGTCGCAGGCCACCTGCAAACTGTAGACCATTTTACAGTGTACAGTGCAGCATAATGATCTAACCTGGACCCATCATCTTCTGTACTTCCAGTTCTTCCCATTTTAATTTTAGTTTGATTGTGTGAGAATATTACTTAAATATTAAAGTGCCTGTACCAATTCTCATGGTACCGGGACGGTAGTGACCCCTCCTTCTGTTAAGAATAAAATGTGATTAGCTATTCACTACATGATAGCGTAGCTGGAACGGTGCCTTATGTAAAGTCAATCTAATCATACAGATCCTACCTATCAAAAGCCATGCCTTCACCAGTTTCTTTAATAGTGTGCTCACATTGCTTTCCGGGCAGTGGGTAAGCCAAAGTGAAGCACCGACTGTGTTTATAATAATAAGTTAGCCAGTAAAAATGTCTTAGGGATGGATAAACTCACCGTTGATGTCGGACAGGGACAGGAGTGTTGTTTAGACTTCTACCATTCTTTGTATGCAGTGATCATTGTCTTCAAATGAATGCTCTCTATAGGGAGCATCTGTGGAAACTGTCGGTCTTTATGAACTTGGGCATTGTACTGGCTTGTGAAAAAATGTATGTGCTCTATACCACTGATTTTAAGAATGATTTTTATTTTATTATGTAGGATTTCTAGTTTTACTTTAATATGTATTAAGTATTTATTTTTAAATTCCTGTCCTCGAATTCAACATGTACATATCCAACAAGCTTGAGTTTAAAAATAAACTATTTCATAAATTAAATGTGTCACTGAAATTTATTTTGAAATTTACAGCATTGTGAAGGCTTTACAATCTCTGAAATATAGTTTTAGGCAATATAAATGGCTGAACTTTATATAAATAAAGTAAGGTAATATTGAACCATGGATGTGTAGTCAAAAGCAGTTCTACAGATTTGCATTAAAAAAACGGATTTGAGGCATCATTGGTCGCACTCAAGTGAGCCAATCTTTTGCAATCTCCATTGTGATTTTGCAGTTTGTTGCGGAAATGATTCAGAATAAACAAACTATTTTCTTTGCCGTACCTTGCAAAAACCTGACTGACAAGTATGACAGGCAGGCTGAGAATCTTACCCCAGGTCTCTACAATACTTAGAAAACATACATCATACTGTATCAGAGACAGGAAAATAAAAAAATATTCATCATTGCAATTTCAAATGGGTAAAGACTAATTGTCAAACGGGTTGACAGTTATTGTTAGAAGCTTAGAAATGAGTCAACAACAGTGGAAAAATACCATTCTTTAAATAATAGTAATGATCAGACATATTGTGAAAGAAAAAATGTGTTTGTACTATGGTGGTGCCTTTATGTTAAGAAAGCTGGCATTTGTCCCTCATGTTTTAAATTATTTCCTCAATTGTGTATAAACTTTAAACAATTTTCCTGATTTGAGAAAAAAGGTGTCAATAAGCAGCCCAAAAAGAAACATTCATTCAATAAATTTAATTTAAACAAATGACACTGTTAAGAGCTAGTGCAGAAAGCACATTTCCACCTGACATCCACAGTGGATGATTAGGAACTCACAAAAACTTGATGAGCCATGTGTTTGTCCAACCCTCCTCCCACCTCTTTATCGGTGCTCCAGCTCCGACAAAACAGAATTCAACAGCAGCATTCCTTTCGCCTTATTTAAATCAACAGTGGTCTTGGATGAGGCAAGTTTGTGTACAAGCACGTCAAAACACAGTCTATGTACAACGTGTGGCTGTGCAGCATAAACCTGAGACCAAGCATATGCCCACCAAGGCTTTAGATAAAGAAATATAGCATGTATTTATGTATGTTGTTGCTGTAATAAATCATAACTGAAAAAATAAATGTGTTCAAAAATATCTTTTTTTGGCAAGTATGCAAACCTTCAAGTATTGCTCAGCCATAACGCTATGACTCTGGAGTGTCCACACTCCCGTGCAGAATTGTTTATACCATTCTTGACTTAGGGTCATCAGGACAGCAAATTGTGAAGATGAAGCTATGATTTCAGTTCAATTAAATAAAATTTGCATCTAACATTTAGTGACAATACAACACCCTGACACACCACTGTAGACACTGGTAGGGAGGGTGAATACCTCTTCCAGGTGTGTCCTGCCTTCTTGTGTGCAGTTTTTCATTTCCTTCCCCTAACGTGTCAAAACTCCTATTACAAGAAACACAGCAAAACCTCACTGGAATGTTCTAATACAGTGGAAGGGGTGAAAGGCACACAGACCTTTATTGTATTTAAAGAAGAAACCCACATATCATTTCAATCAATTTGGCTCTAGCTGACTTGTAAATATTGTGGATGTTGACTTGGAAACCAAAGTTCATACGCTCAAAAAGAGTCATAGATGTAGACACAAGGGCCCACAGGAAGAATCCAGTACTGATGACTCAACTTCCAGGGTTTGACACATACTGTAGTTTGTCTCATAGTTCTGAGTCTGTTTTCTGAGGTTTGTCATGGGGCTCTAGCCCAAGCACTGCAGATCTCTTGATCTTCATCCTGATTTCGGCTTCATTTTCAATCACGAAGTCGTGGACAGATTAGGAGCAGAAGCCCGTATCTTCTCTTCGAGTCTGAGTCCAGATGGTCTGTGCGAAGACTTGTACGCAGTCTTGAAAGACGGAGGCCTTTCCTTCGGGTTCAGCTTCGACACAGGCACGTTGCAGTTGTTAAAGGGGTCATCGTTGTAGTTGTCCTGATGCACGGCCACGTTGCGATGGCGCCTCTTCACCTTGTTTGCAATTCGCACAATGCGTTTGGAGATGAGATAGATGATCTCGCAGATGTTCAGGATGATGCAGAGGGCCGACGCTCCGACCATGAAGTAGGTGAAGACCTTCTTCTCTGTGGGGTGGCCGATGTAGCAGTCCACTAGGTTGGGGCATGGCGACACATCACACTTCACTAGTCTAGGCAGGTAGAAGCTGTCATAGACGTGGTGGAGAATGTAGAGGAAGGAGACCTCTATGCCCGTCTTCACGAAGAGGCTAATCAGATAGGTCCACCACAAGCCGCCATGTTTCTTGCCCGTGTTGTTGTACAGCTTGATGCTGTCACCGTGCTTCGCCCTGTATTTGCGCTCACGGTCGTCACGGTACGCCACATGCATGACTACCATGAAAGACGGGCAGGTGATGAAGATGAGCTGCAGAGCCCACAGGCGGATGTGGGAGATGGGAAAGAAGTGGTCGTAGCAGACGTTGGCACAGCCGGGTTGCTTAGTGTTGCAGTCAAAGTCCTTCTGCTCGTCGCCCCACACTCTCTCTGCCGCCACAACGTACACCATAACCCGGAAGACAAACACCACAGACAACCATACCCGCCCAAACGCCGTGGAGTATTTGTTCACCCCACTGAGGAGGGCTTGGAAGGTCTTCCAGTCCATATCCTTGGCTGGCAGTCAGATAAGTCTTCTCTGGAATTCTTCTCTTGCTGGTAGTAGTTTATCCTCAGACCTGGATGTGGCAGAATGAAGAATGGGTGAACATGTTTTCATTGCTTTCACTCTGTGAACATCCATGTTCACAGTATCTCACTTACTCCAGGTGGCTTTAATAACAAAGAACCTTTTATTCTGTCTTTTTTTAAATCAGTCATTTATCTTCCACGCTGATTTATCTAAAAACGTTTCCCACAGGTCTCATTTATCAACCCTACCAGAAACAACCTCTAATAATAACACAGTTAGAAGCAGGCCTGGAGCCAAACCGTTCATGAAAGAAACAAGACCAACATTTTTAACACAACCAGACGATGTGCATCTTAAAAAGCAGCATGTCTACTTCCCAACTTTTATACAAATATCAATTTAAGAAATAAAGTAAATACTATCAGCCTTATGCTGTGTATCTATTAACATCAAAAGCAGACAGTCATTTGAGTAGGTCTGAGTCTTTAACAAAAAAACAGCCTTTTACGCACGGGCTGTATGCGTTATTTGTACATATTTTAATTAGTTTAGATAGTTTTGCCTCATAACCGACATATGGACCTTCTACAGCCACCAGTGAAAAAAATAAGCGTTTCATAGACTGACGCATGAAGGCCACCGGAGAAACACTCATTTCCAATTGGCTTAAACGCGAACTTTAACTCATCTTAGATACATCAAAAGTTCATTATAGTGAATTTTTCACTTACCAAAAGAAGTATTAGTCCATTAATAGTTGAAAGACACGTGATTACACATATCTCCAGCAGCTCTTTTGTCGCTTTTATGTCGTTTTAGTCCTTTAACGCACAGATTTGGCTCCACTCGACAGGTACAGAAGCGCTGTGTTGAGAAATGAGTCTGTGGGTGTGGTTAAAGAAGAAAGACTTGGGCTGCCCCAGATGTTCCTCTCTCTTACTCCCTCCCTCTCCCGCTCTCTGCCTGTCTCTCCCACTCACATGCCAGTGTTAGGTGGCGAATTAAATAACAGTTATCACAGTTTCTCAGAAACCATGTCCAGGTAGTTAACCCTAACCCTAACCACACATGAACAATCAAGTTTGGTTAAAGTCTGTGATCAGCAACATGGAGAGGACCAGGGGTCCTTGTAGAAAACTAAAGAGTAGTTAAACTTAAAGAATTTGAATGTGGGACACACACTAGAGCATGCGCCCCATGTCGGCTGAGTCCTTACTGCAGTGACCTGGGTTCGATTCCACATATATATATGAATGTTTAATATGTCCCAACATGCACCACACAGACACAGAAGTTAGGTTACAGTGTATCTGACAGCTTCAGTCTCAGACAGGGTAAAATGGAAGGGTGCTTCTCCCAAAGGGGGGCTTGTGTTAATTAAAAAAGTTCAGAGAAGACAGATTTAAGTTCATTCTTTTTATGTTTCATGTTTCCTGGAAGGACTGTCTCCTTGTCCCAGCGTGTTTCTGAGTACTTCAGAAAGTATACGTAAGAGGCAGACACACCCTGAGGTGAATGCATTTTTTGTTGTTGTGCATGCAACCTCTTTTTGTTTAAACGTCCTAGAAGTATTATGAGGGCCAGGCAGCATATTTTCTGGGATGTTGCTGGCGGTGACGAGGGCGAGTGGAGGGGAGATCAGTACGTATGTTACTGTGAAATTTATAACATTTCCCTGTCCTTCTGCCGTTTGATTTCTACACTGTCTGCTTCTACTCTTTCATGCAACACCCATACAAGTGCCAAAAGGTGTATTGTGTTTCCTTTATCCCTTTTAAAACCAAGCTCTACTCAGATGACACTGTCACAATTCATGAACTCCCAGCGCCTCTAAGTTCATCCTCATTGTCAGATCATGAGCTGTGGCTTCTGTCTTCACTTTTCCATCCAGCTACTGTCACAACCAAACTTTTTTTGTTTTACACTTTGCTGTCACGATTTCGTATTCCTGTTTATTACTGTGTCTCTGTTCTGTGAGGAAAACAGCCTACCATTAGCAGTGTTGGAATATCAAATATCAGCTTGATCAAGATGTGCCAGAGCTTGCCAGTTCTTGCAGACTGGTTCCTGCATTCAGAGCTGTTGAATCCCCGTGTTTACATTACATAAGACGATAAAAGAGTTGTTCAGACATCAGCTTCAAGTCAAGTCAGGTTTATTTGTATTGCTCAGTACAATCACAATGTACAATGCCTCAATGGGCATGTCTCAGGCTCACAACAGTAATAGCCCCCAACCAAGCCCAAAATTTCTAAGAAGATAAGGAAGCATTCTCCAAAAAACCTTTTCTAAGAAGTTACACCTATACTTTACATGGGTGTGTTGAGATGACACACGCATATATTACAATAAGTTACCATATAACTGAGCTTTTTTGTTTTTACTTTGTTAACATTTCTGAAAAAGAAATGGATATGAATGGATGCGGACAGCAATTCACTTGTCTGATAACAGGGTCAAACTTGGGTCTTTGAATGCATTTAGAAAGAGTTTGTTTTACATATTATGCTCATATTTTCATCCGTCTAGAAACACTTCTGATCCTAAAAAAGGAATTTGTCTAACACCAAAAGTGAAAAGTAACACTATAAAGAGATGTCACAGCGCAGGCTTCTCTCAATCAAAGTCTCGCAGCCTTGCAGCTGTGAGCTAAAACTCTCAGGATGTTGTTAGAAGAATCAATGGCAGCTGTGCTTTTCAGGAAAGTCATCTATTGCATATGGCTTGAGCACTTGAACACAACATCTGTACTTGCAACATTAAGAGCAGTTCAGTAGACAGGAATTGCATTCAGGGCAGGGGGCAGGGGAAGAAAAGTTGCTTCTTGGCTGTAGATGAAGAACTGGTCCAGGCAGTCGGCCCGGGACACACCTGGAGGAATGCACCCCGTGAGTCAACCTCTGCCAGCCACAAGTCTCAACAAGACAAACGGACACAACAGGATAAACACTTTTTTTTCACGCTTAACACGCTTTTCACTGCTGGTACTATGAAAGGAAGGAAATGTACCAGGGAGCAGAGAAAGCGAAGACGAAGAGAAGAGAAATAATACTAGAAGAGCAGGGAGGGTCTTGTAATTGGAGTGATTGTTGGCTCATTTACAGAACCACCCAGGCTGGCAGTCAGGCTGGACTCACAGAAAAAGGACAAAGAGAACTACACATAATGAAGCTTGCTTATGTTTTCAGAGCCAGTAGATATTACAGTTTAGGATGCTTGATATAACACTTGAGAGAGATCATGTTGGCACAATATTTCCTCTAGCTCAGTCTAAAAGTGAGAATTATCTCAGACTTCATCACTTCGCTCATTTAATTGTGCAACCATTGACTCCAGAGGGAGGAAATGCCATCCCTGTGTGTACTTATATATGGATGGATTGAGTCTCAAATCCAACACATAACAAACATATTTTTCAACACACTCCCTGTGTTATCCCACCATTCAGATAAGACAGTTTTTATCTGCTGAGGATTCAGATCTATCTGCTGCCACCCCAATACAGTGGAAGTGAAAAATTATTTTCCAGCTGTGGCTTCTCTTTCCTGAAACAGTGCCCCTATTACTATGATAATCCACAGACCTCACTTGTTAATAGTTTTCATCGGAATTGCTGTCTACTGAAATAGACCTTAACTGTTCCAATGAAAGCTATTAAAAGTGGTGCCTGCAGATTATCCTTTCACTGTTTGTGGGGAGACACTTAAAAACTTAAATGTCTTTATTGCTCTGAGCAGCACAAACTATATTTTATTCTCCTCTGTGGTACTGACGTGGCATAGTTTCAGAGGCAGATATCTCAAAACATCATGTTATAAGACTAATAATGACACGGCTCATACCACAAGGAGAGAGTGAGAAGGAAAATATGTCCTTTTACTCTTACTACATCTCTCCTATCGCATGTTGAAGTGTAAATATTGGAAACATCCATTTAGAGGCTGCACGGACCGACAAATTCCTGCACTGGGTGTATCCACACACGTCAGCACGGATGAAGCGAACTGAAGAGTGGGTGACTCCTCCTCTGCCCTTCTCAAAGTACCAATCAACCTAAACAATGAGGGTGCTGCTCCTAGCAACAAAGCAATCTGTGGCCCAATGGGGAGGGAGGGCTTTTATGAAGAACATGGAAAAAGTGGAAGAAGAAAGAAAGTCTGAGATCTTTGTCAAACCACGAAACTCGTGCAGAATCAACAATGGCTGGTTTACATTACCCTTTAGTATATTTACTAAGAATCTTTTGCATATTGCGTAACTGTTACAGCTAAAATACTTGTTCTCTTTTGAATGCAGTATGCATTACTGTGTATGGACTTGGCAAATTGTCTTCCTGAGAAAAAAAAACACACATTTTCAAAATATGACAATTATCTTTAATGAAAAATAATATTAACAATATGCAGCCACTCTGCACCTTTGATATTATTAACTGTTTACAACAGTGCATTACAACTTCATTGCTCTCTTCTGTCTGTGTGAAGAAATCAGTTCAAAACAGGTAAGAACAGTAACATGCACAACAACAACAATCTTTTAAACCTTTTGATAAATTATGTAAAGTACAGTACTGACAAGGAGTCAGATATGAACATGTGAGTGACGGGAAAAGACACAGAACAGTTTGAACTAAACATTCGGAAGAGGGGAAACGAGCAGAGGGAAAATCTTACACAGAAAACCACATGTGTTTGTAAAACCATCCTCTCCAAACCATGGTGACTCATGTAATTGGTATCGAGGCTAGATCTGACACTGCACCACACAAACTTGCTTTTTTTCCCCTATGCAAGGGCTAGAACTTTTGTAAAATCTCTGTAAATACTGAAAAAAAAATGACCCGAACACAACAGTGAGCACATTCCAGATCAGTGACACATGAGTCTTGAAGTCCAGAATTTCCGATTTTCTGACAGTGGACACAGAAACAGTATGGAACTACCTCAATCATAGTTCAGTGTCTGAGCAAACAAATGTCTGCTGACATGGAAGTGTCTGTAGAGTGAGGACAGGCATATATCCTTTCCCATGTCTTTGTTTTTCATAAAGTCTTTGCCTTTATTCTCAGTATCTCAAGATATGGCGACTCTGTATGAAGGGGCGGGCGTTTCAGGGGTGTTTTTGCCTATCAGCTTTAATGTGTTTGACTCCATCAAGTTGCTTCCGCTGGACATTGTGTTGGTGTTGACGTTGGAAGAGTTATTGACATGGGAGAAACATTCAAAGCAGCGCTTGCCAATCAGGTAGACGATTTCAAAAATGGAGAGGAGGATGCAGACCAGGCTGGTGACCACCATGAAGAGGGTGAAGATTCGTTTCTCAGTGGGCCGAGCGATGAAGCAGTCCACCTTGTTGGGACAGGGCTTCTGCTCGCACTTGATGAGCGAGGGGAAGTCGTAGCCCTCGTAGATGTGGTAGACGAGGTAGACGAAAGTGATATCCACGCCTATTTTAAAGACCAGAGTGAGGACGTAGGTCCACCACAGCCCCCCGCGCTTCTTGCCTACGTTCTTGTAGAGACGGTGGCAGTTTTCGCCATACTTGAGCCTGTTTTTGCGTTCCCTGTCCTCCCTATAGGCAACATGCATCACCACCAGAAGAGAGGGGCAGGTGACGAAGATGAGCTGCAGGGCCCACAGCCGGACGTGGGAGACGGGGAAGAAGTGATCATAACAGACATTGTGGCACCCGGGCTGCGCCGTGTTGCATTTGAAGTCTTTCTGTTCGTCGCCCCACACCTTCTCCGCGGCCACCACAAACACCATGACCCTGAAGAGGAAAACAATGGAGAGCCAAACTCGGCCGAAGGCTGTGGAGTACTTGTTCACCCCACTGAGGAGGCCCTGGAGGAATGCCCAGTTCATGACGAGGTTTGTTCACAGCCTGTCTTCTCTTCCTGCTGATGGA